ACCAAACGGCCGGATACTGCGGCGAACGGCGAAATTTGCAGAGCGTAATCGCATCGCGTGTAAAGACAATCCCGCGCTGTTAGTTAGGCCATGTGTGATTTACTACGTATTGCAATAAAGGCCGGTAACCGCTCGCGATGTTATCATCACGCCGTTTGTCTAGTTACAGACCCAGCTGAGGGCGAGAGGGGGGGCGGGGGGAGAGTTTACCGAAACAACTAGCACCCACGTTCCTGGGCAGAGGATTAATAGCCTTATGTTAAGGCTATCTTGATTATGACGCAACGTCCACGATTTAATCAATTTATTGATGCGCGAATATCACGCGATCTACGCTTAGGACAAGACAGCGCTATAATTCTAATGCAAAATAAAGTGAGAGTTGACTTTTTCATTTTTCGGTTAATATTAGCGAAGAGATTTCCATTTGCTGTAAACACAACCACATCAACTTTCTCGAAAGCGTTTCGATATTAAAATACATCTTTCTCTACTCCTTGGGGAAAATCTGTTTGTCATATTCTCCGATGTTATTCTAGTATTTAAATTACCCGGTCGCCAATATTACTTCTTTAGGATTCAGGTATACAAATATCGCCATACGACCTATCCTCGCAATATCCGTGTCTCATACGCAATTTTTCTAAAACGACAATCTCAACTTTGGCACAAAAAATTGCGGACGTCAGAGCTGAACGAGAATTTTTTAAGCCGTCGCCATTTTTATGCTCTTTGAAGCATAAAACGTCCAAGTCTTGCAACGCAGAAAGCCGAGCACCCGCATAAATTATGCATCCAGAAGGGTGAAACTGTCTGCTGTGCAAACTTTGGGCTTGCTACGTTCTCGACGCAGATCGTATTTGTAAAATTCAACTGGTATTAATGAACAAAACCGAGCCCAAGGAACAATGTTTCGAACAACATTAAAAAATTTAGCGATGTAGAACGCCGAACAAAATGTAAAGATCAATTTTATCATAACCATGAAACTGCAATATTAATCTGTAATATTAATCTTTCGCATATTATTGACAAGTATATTTATCATTTGGAAAAACGTATTTGAATCTATATTAAGCACGAAATTTCCTTATTTCAGAAACTGTTTTTTCTCTGTTTTAACTGCCCGTTGTTATCCCACAAATTAGTTATTGAATTTCGTGTATTTTGGTCGGTTAATGCGCCATAGAATTATGCTCTTGTTGGTTGCAACGAATTATTAATCGTGACGGTTTGCGGTATAATGTTCGTTTCTTGACTCATGTAATTAAAATTAATTATAGCTGTTTGTAGCGGACAACGCAGGAGTTAATTAATTGTTAGCAATGCATTGTTTCGCCGCATCGAGTAAGTCACCGTGGCTCTTCTGGTGCTTTTGCCGTCAAAAGATCTTTTCCCCTTTGTCCGACTCGTACCTTGTGTCGGACCTTACTTCGGAAATGTTCTCAAATTGTAGAGGAAGAAATCTAGCGTGATATCGAGCGTTTGTGCTTCCCTGCCGCACAATAAAATATGATATCGGTAAGAAATTTATTTCGGAAGCTGAGATCAGATAAGTTTACCGCGGTCGATATGGCTATAATTACAAAAGTTTCGAGAATTTTTATCATTTTCCACTATCAAATATCCACGAGGATTCATTACTCAAAAAATTCGGCGAGAATTTTAATATAATCAAGGTTCACTTCACCTCTGTCTGCCGTCAAAGTTTTCTGCCATTATAATTTTTCACGCTTAATGCAACAAACTTTACTTGACGCGCAGGTGTGTAGCATTCGAGGATCTCTTCCGTAAAACTTTCTAACCCGGTAACACCGAGGTGCGTCAACATTTTCTAAATAGGGAAGTTGTCACCATCATTCATCTCTCGTCAGCTATTCGCCCTAACCCTCCATCTTTCAAATAGCACGATGATGATTAAAAAGTAATAAAGAAAGTGAGACATGTGAGACAATACAAATAGTATAATAAAAGAATTATAAATATAAAAATAAGAGAAAAAGTATAAATAATATAAGTGCATAAAATAATAGTGCAAAAAGTTCCAACAATATATCTGCATACTGTCATTATAATATAATACTTGGCATCACATTCAAAAGCTGAAAATAGTATAACAAAAATAGTATAACATGAAATTCTATGCTTGAAGTTTGTGAAATGCACTGATTGAAAAATATTGAACTCACCAATGCAGTATCTTAGCAAACTCCACGAGTTTAAATATAAAATACATGTTATGTAACATTTCGAAACAACTCTGAGTAAACTTATCATAAAAGAAAATTGTAAAATGTAGATCTTCCAAGAAAGTTATTTTAGAAAGTCGTACGATACCAGCTGCGCAAACAATAGCATGGCAGAAGTTCGCAGCACGAAAATTACCAAGTTACGTTCGTCGAAGTAAATTCAACTGATTATGAGGGCATTATAGATGATCATCCTAACTGACATCGCGATATATAACGTTGACTATATCTAGCGAAAGTAATTATCGCAGTATTACAGAAGTCTACGGACGACGTGCTGTATGTCAAAGTTTCGAAAGTTTATTCAACGGGAGGTCCTGGAAGGAGGGTTAATTGTAGTTGGCAAGAAAATGTACGTTTCAATTGGCTTTTAACTTTCGTGAATGTGGATGGATATAGGCGAACGCACTTTATCGCCCAGTTACGGCTTCCGCTATCTGGTTTACGTTAATTGGACGGTATCGTATAAAAATAAGTTAAACTGTGAAATATTTAAAAAAGAAAGTTGTGTGTGTGTGTGTGTGAATGTGTGTATATGGCTAGATCTGTAATAAAATTCTGCATTAGCAAAAAGATGATAGAAGTAAAATCCAATATTGCACAGCATTCAGAGAAAATGGGTTAAAATATTCCTTTAAAATTTCAAACTTGATTTACTAGAAACTACTAGTTGATAGGTTAAATCACTTTTACATAATACCGTTCAATAAAGCTATACGACTCGAAAGAGTAAATCGATCATTGACACATCGGTGGAAATAACGGATGAATATGCCACTGCAGTCAAAACGGAATAAAAAAAAAAAAGACGCAAAAAACGCTTTATCATTTAATGCAGGAGCGCTCGTCAGTTTTACTCGCGCGACCACCACGGACGAGTGACTCGGCGAAGCTTTTCGCGTCATCCTATACTACACCACACGAAATTTCCCAGGGAAATTATTTTCGATAACGTTCTGACGTTTAACGGCTGAAACGCACAGCATTACGAATACTCGCGCACGTTTCATCGAGCATAAGCTACCGTAGCTTCAACGCAGGGACGCGGTAATCAAGAATTGTATCATACAAATGGAAAATAAATAAAAAATCATTTACAGAGTTCAGTATTCTGTGATATGAGTACTAAATAATATGTCAAATTAAATCATATAAATTTTATTTTATATAATATGCTAGTGAGATAAAAGGAATAATAAAATAACATTATCCAGATTCGTAATTGTTATTACATTTCGTACTTCATTTTATTAATTTAAAATTAATTTTTTATTGGAGTAATATTTTAAAACTATATCTTTTAACTGTAAAATGTAGTATAATTTTATATTATTTCCTCTTTTATACACTTGGCAAGGATTAATATTTGCAATGATTAATTTGACGGAAATAAGATTATCATCTCGAAATATATTTATCTATTGTTTCACATTTTCAATTTGTTTCATATTTTCCGTGCAATTTTATATGTCATAAATAAGGGCAGTAAATTAGGGCTGACACTCGGGCAACATATACACAACACGTTCTTAGCGCGTTCCCTGCTTGGACGCGCCGCCGTTGTCAGCCGGCTTTATCGCGAAGGTGCAATTTATTGTAGGAATTATCCCTTGTCGCACGCACGCACGGAGACTGACAATTACATTTTTACACCGCCTGACCATGAGATGTCCCTTCAACCACCGCACCCATATTCGTGGAACGTTTCTCTCGTCGTGTTCGCTTTGTCCGCTTGCGGATCCGAGAAGCGTGACGTTATAGGCATCGAGATGCATGCGTGACATCGATCTGTGAGAAGAAGCGAGAGAACGGATCGGACGAGCGGGGAAAAAACTGCCGATGTGCGAAAGAAGGAAACGGGCGTATATACATATAGAGAGGGGGATAAATTGCACAGGCGACGCGGATTTATTCGAGCGCGATACGTTACCGTGATACGTGATGCGACTCGGCGCGAATCGACGAGCTCGCGATACTTTTGAGCGACGACGCCACTTTCGTTCAACAGACAATGCGAATTCTCGTGATTTGACGAGAGAACCGGCGGCGGCGGTGGCGGCGGCGGCGGCGGCGGCGGCGGCGGTGGTGGCGGTGATGGTGGCGGTGGTTGAAAGCCGTCGAGAAGAGAGAAGAGATACGGAGAGAAGGGAGAGGCTGAAAGTGGGAGAGAGAGCGAGAGACTCTTTCTCACAGTAGAATGAGCTCGCTCTAATTCGTCGATGGTAGTTATCAAGCTGGCTGGCTCCTGACAGTTTACGTGAATACGCGACGAGTCTAAAATAAAACCACGCCGCGATAAATTCCATATCTGCGTTCCGACGCGATGCCGTAAGCGACTGACATATTCCGCTGCAGTTGATATCTTTTTTTTTTTTTTTTTCGATCTTCTCCATTGTCTTCGCGATTCGGAGTGCGGCTATATAATATAGATATTATTTCCACTTCCACCATATGCATCGTATTTTCACCGACAGATTTTCTTTAGTCAATCCGAAATCAATTTTCTCGGAATAAAAATATCAAACGAGGTCATTATCTATAGCGACTCCCCGACTTTTCTATCATTAAATGCTTTTATAACTAAAAATTCGAATTAAAATTGATGTTGAAATTATGTCTACTAATTCATTGAGGAATGTAGGTTTAGTTTTAATTGGCGAGCTTACGAGAGAAAATATGCCAATTTCTACCATCGCGCAAAAAACGTCAGCGCGCTCGATACTCATCCGCCGTATTTTTTTCTGCTTTCAGGCGATTTTTCGCTACACATATATCCGGTGGAACTCGAGGACGACGGCACGTATCAATGTCAGGCTTCACCGACGAACGACGGACAGCCGGCTTTACGATCGAGATTCGCCAAGCTGAGCGTGCTGGTGCCACCGCAGAAGCCGAAGATCACGCAGGGTGACTTCCTCATAACTACCGAGGATCGCGAGCTAGTGATCGAGTGCATAAGCGCCGGTGGAAAACCGCCAGCGGAGGTGAGCGTTCCTATCGTCTTTCCGCGTATCTTCTGACATCTTTGTCAACATATATATTGATAGGATTACCCGCGAGATTAGTCCGGATTAATCGCTGTGAAAGCAACCTCCGGCGATTGCATCCGGCAACTTCGCGGATATCCCTTGGCGATGGGCAGTGCGCCGCCTCGAAGATTATGCCCGATCGATTTCGCGTGGAGGCGTGCCTCTCTCTTTGCTGTTCTATGCATTCCCGACAAATATGTTTTTATGTCGCACGCGTAAACTATTAACCGTAATTCTACGCGAAAAAGAAAAAAAAAATTAAATAAATAAAAATAAATTGTCGGCTTATATATTTTTCTCTAATATTTCGGTGCAATATAGCGTGTGATACATATACATATATTTTGTGCCACGCTTATAATATATCTAAGGCTAACGCCGTTAGCTAAGTTACGGTCACAGATCTGTCGTAAAAAAGGGATGAACAAGCCCACATATCAAAATCCCGTTGGTTCGTGCTAGATTATTACGCAGAAATACGGGCTATCTCTGACGGTTAACTTTGCCAAACTGTGTGTCGAATCGGTGAAGCGTGATTCCCAGCTGTTTCTGTCGCGTGGAGATAAACAAGTTGCTGAACGATCGGACAGTGTTGCTTGGTGTCGAACTAGGCCCATTGGGGGCTTTCGTGTCACACGGATCTAACCGTTGAAATTGGTAACGCGAAAAATATACGGCTCAATCCACGTTATTATTCCCGATCGGCGGAATTAGAAGCGGAGGCACCCGAGCGCGGCGCACGCTTAGTAAATAGCACCGAATCTGCCCTGAAAATCTGACCTAGGCCGAAGCCACAGGCCGCATTTCTTGCTTACCAAGTCCACTCAGCAGAACGCGTGGTTCCGCGCGCAGCAAAAACAACTTCGAATCACGCTCGGCGGCCACCGGGGTCTGAGATTTATGTGGGTTACCTATGTCCCTATACATCTAGCCCGTCAGTTAGTACTGCTTGTTCCTCGCCATCCAAACTTATAAGCGTATAAAGTGCACGAGCCCGAAAATCGATAAATCAGAGAAAAAGGGAAAACCAATGCAATCTGTATTGGTTTATATTACGTTATATAGACCGTATGCTAATGCAAAATGATTTTATTTCGACAACAATTGTTATTTTAGTATTCACAATCATGTAAGCTCGATAAAATATACATTTTTGATTTAAAGGGCTATATTTTAATAATCCGAATAATTATGATAATGTAATATGGTATGTTGTGACACGATTATCTCGGAATATATCATTAAAGAGGATGGATAAATGCCTTGATATATTGCGCTCAGTCTAAAGTGATTGCTTTACAAGAATGCACGTAATGCCAGGAAAAAGTTCTCGTTAGCTTCATGAGCTTGCAAGACGTGTTTCCGTAATATTCGTGACAAAAGGAAGTTTATCCGTACATGAAAGAGCTTAAACTTAATAACTGCTCTGCAGATAAGAGTTTTCCATTACGCTAATGCATTGCCTACGAATTTCATACGGTGCGCTTTATTTTTATTCATCACACAGCAAAAGTTCAGCTATACAAGTCCTAACAGCACCGGAAGTTCACGACTGCATAACTTTCCATTACAATTGCCTGCTAAGACAACTTTTTCGCGAGACAGTGTATACACAGTGTTCCAAATCGACCTAACGAACCACGAATTTTTATATTCAGATTTTTTTTTAATCAATTTATTTTAATAAGATTGTGGAAATCGGAGAATAAAAATTTAAATGCAAAGTGATCAAAATGTACGACCAGAAATATATGCAAATAATTTAGATAGTTTAGAATTTTATAAGTCACCACATTTTTTCTAGCACTGTAGAAAAAATCTTGAGGAAAAATTTTACATAAGAGAGAATGTTTGTTTGAAATTTCGAAAGCAGTCTATCTGTGATTGCTAAAATCTTTAAATGTATCTTTTGCATGTTAAACGAATACAGGATAATTTATTGTCGCTATCGAGCAATTCATCACAAACTACGAAATGTACGTCCGATACATTTCATAAGTATGCAAATATTTCAAGGACGCCGACCCATCCAGAGTGATTTTTCCTTTCCGATAAATATGTATCTCGACGGTGTCACAGTTACTAATGCAAATCCGACCTAGCGCGAGCAGCTGGTTAATCAGCGACTGGCGAAGAATTTAATGAAATTTTATTTCTCGATCGCAAACGCGTGCTTTTTAATTAAAATTATGCAAATCCATGGTTAATGGCGCGACCGGGGAATCGACGCGCGAGTAATGATCGCGGAATATTTAAATACGAAAAAATATTCATTTTGAATGTGTTTTCGTGGCGCACAAAAAGAATACATTAAATCATAGAGTGAGTGGAACGGCCGCGTGGAATCCGATAGAATATCGAGCCACACAATCCTACAGAAGTTGCATAATTTTGGTGGGATATTAACGTTGCTAATTAAAAAAATAATTCAATATAACTTCTACGATATTAATTATTATACACGGTGATCATAGATTAATAATACTCGTTCTTCTTAAAAAATTCATTCACATAAATGTCAAATCGTTAACGTGCAAATCACAAAAAATATCGTTTTTCGTGAGAGCTTAATTTTCGTATTGCTCATTATCACATTTACGTATCCATTAATTAATAAATCGATATTCTCTGGCGTTACAAATATTGTTACGAAAATAGACTATATGCAACATTCAAATTTGAACCATTTACGCGGTCTCATTTGTACACGAAATTTTCAACAAATCGTTATTTAAATGATTTTACGAAAAATTCTATAAGATATGCAAATAATTTTATATTGAAATGTAAAAGCTGGAAAAATGCCTACTAACGAAGAAAAATTAAGATTTGACCTTTATATAGAATAACGCAATATTTTTTTAACGCAATTTCTGGATGAAATAATAGTTTGTTAATATCAAAGTTTAAAATTTTAATATTTGTTGTATATGTTCACACAATATAATCATGTAAATTGTAAAAAAAAACACAATTTAATTAACGTTTACAATTTATAAATTATTCTGCCGTATTTAAATTTTACTTTTAGCTTATAGCTCTTGTCAAAATTGTTCATTTTTAAAACTTAAAATTTATTAAACTTTATTATTAAACTTTAAATTTATTCTTTATCAATGGCATTTTTTATTAATTTTAAAATTACGTTATTATTTCACCAATTCTGTTCAATTATACAATGGGCTGCCTTCATAATCGATCATTGACGTGACTCAACGTTATCCGTTCGCGGGGCGGAAAAATGGAGCGAAAGCTACTCGCAAAAATTCCGATGCATTGTTAGATCAGTGAAAGCACTATTGCAAGAGGGAAGCGCTAATCACGCGATATCGTGCGTGTAGTTCGTGCGGTTTCATCGCTAAATCACTTTTTGCCGTATATCATATATATAGCATACCATATAACACTATCACAGTGTGAAGAATAAAATATGTAAGGTGTTATAATGTAAAAAATGGAATTCGATAATGGGAATATATGATACGTTTCGATTTCCAATATTTTTAGAGGCGACGTGTTTTTAATGGAAATTTGTCGCAAAGGCCGAAATTTTCAACACCAAATGTCTACCGTGAAAATACGAAACTTTTTGGCGGCAGGCTCGGAATGGTGAAAATCTACTATCGGTTTATGAGCTGCCGTAGGCGACGACGGACGATCTGGTTACACCCAAACGGCGCAAAGCATATTTATATTTGATTTTTTATTCGCTCTCGTTATATTTGCCGTCGGAAATTTTTTGTAATGCTTGTCGACGAACTAAATGAACGCTGTGTTATTGAAATTCGCACGCGCCTTCCGTTAAAAATGTCGTATTTACAAAACTCCGAACTTTCAAAACAACTTTTCCTTGTGAGTGGGCGAAAAATATTTTTTTTTCATTATATTTATTTTAAGAGTTACTTAAATAAGGGTTGTTTTTATTTGTTGTATTTTATGAGAAATTAAATTAAATTAAAAATTTTAATTAAAAGGTATTAAAATATATATGTAATGTTCTTTTAAGGAGACTAATGTAATAGTAATATAAATAAATCTTTTTTTTCCACGTTGAGAGAAAGAAATATCGAAAGGGATTAATTAAATATAAGATATATCGTACTGTAAATTTGAATTCTTCGCGTTCCGTTTGCTGTGCCTCGCGTAAATAAGTTTATGAGAATAAATAAAGCACAAGAATTTTCTGAAATAATTTCCACGAAGCCGAATAACTACTAAGTCGTTCTCGTTATGTATAACTCCGAAATTAATATTAAGCAGCATCTAATCATTGTTCCCAAACATGTGACGTCTACTTGCCAAGCTTCTCACACAATTGCACAAATCATTGCATTCTACACACTTTCACTCTGATGGCTTCCCCCTCCCTTTCTCGTCCCCTTCGTCTTCTCGAACTGGCAACTCCAAAGTTCCGGAACTTTCTATCGTATTGCCGCGGAAATTCTCCCCTTGCGAGATACCGCAGGTTTCCTCCCGAGACAGGATTTTAATATTGCCTTAATATTACCATATTATTGTCCTTGTTGTATTTATATTACATCATGCGATAACTATGCAACAAACGCACGTAATATGTGTACATGCTAATATGCAGTCAAATTTTTTCATATGTTGTTTAAATGTGATAATTTTTAAAATTTTAGGGCCTACAGTTCAAATAATGCGAATCATTCGAACTGTTAGCTCGAAAGATCCGACCTATTTGATGTTCGATCTCAAAATCCAAACTGTTCGAATTGATCATCGGAAATTTCCGACCACTAGTATATACACACATGTCTAGATAATAATTATATTATAATACCTGTGTGACTCGCACTGTAATTATTCTACATCATTACGCTTGCTATATTGTAATCATTTAACACTAGAACATCCGAAGGGCCAAATTTATCCACTCATCATTTTAATTTTATCATATCATATTATAAACTAATGTAATTTTCAATTTTCAAATTGCATATTAATTTTCTTTAATAAAATTGCATATTGAGCAATATAATTCACATATATATATATAACTTATATATATCTATTTTTCTCTAGATATGAAATACTGAATTATTCTTAGAAGATAAGTTTATTCCATTTGACCGTTCTAAAATTATATCATTTTAATCATTCTAGTGAGAATAGAAATTTTAACTTAAATGACTTTTTGATTACTCACCGATCGTTGTATTGATCGTCTCCAACTAAATACAGCTTTAAACCTGAAAAAGTTAATATATATTTGAGTTTTTGTCAATGATCAAACGTTATATGTGTATGTTGATTTTACGCAGTATTATTTATTTCCATTTTGATTAAAACATAACTATATACGTTGCGTCGCGTGAATAACTGTTTAAAAATTTTAATAAATACTCAATAAATATTTTAATAAAAATTTGCAAACATTTTAATAATATCTGATAAATGCAAATTATGATTGTGTATGTGCTATCATAATTATGTATATGTTATAACGAAATAATTGTACTTATCAACTAGAGTACTGGAGATTGCTCTCCATTACAGATTCTGTCTTAAAATCCATTAAAGGATTAATTAATATTGGAAATCAGCGTATTTTATTTATACGCGTAAAACACGGATTTACAAATTTAGGTACTGTCGCGATATACGAAATGCGAAATATAAAATTACACTTCGCTAATATAACATTTAAAAATAAAGAGAAATATATTTTCTACAAAACAAATTTAAAGCCAGTTATATATATTTATATTACATTACGATTTCCTGCGTTATTATTCACGTATTATCACGCTGTTCCGTAAATTTTAGAACATATCACTGGTATTTGTGTTACAATTATTCACACAGAAGTACGACTTCAACCTGAAATTTGAATGCGAACGTTCCACCTTTTTCACGTTTTTATACGTAAATTTTTATGTCTCTCCACCTAAATTTTTATAAAGAAAAATAAATTTGCGACGGAAATCCGTGATTTTCGTATAAATGTGCGCTAGTTGACTTTCGTTCGGGAGCGTGCGTAACTAAATGCAAGTTTTCAGTATTCATCGATTTTTCGATGGGGCTGATGCAGAGCAGTCTAACAATAAGGCAGAATCAGCAGCGAGTGGAGCAAATTGCAATACCCTAGCTGATGAGTACAATTATTTGTCTATTATTTGAATATGTATATAATTTCGATAACATATACGTGCACCATTAATACGATCGTTTCAAAACTTACATGTTATCGTCGAGCCTTATCAAACTTTGTGATAAATAAAATATTAAGAATAAAATATTAAGAATGAAGAGTGCACATTTCAATATGTTTCTCTTCTAATTTGCACCACAATTAATTTCTCCTTACGTCATTATGCCAATGACATTTCGAAATGCAAGAGTACGATTGTATATGCAAATATATGTATGTAATTTAAATTGTTCCGCGAGCAACAAAAGTTCACTGTAATAGCCCCGATTAATTCGGCTTGAAAAATCTCGAGAATCTCGCCGCGAGATAAAATCGAAGGAAACATTTAATAAATGCAGATCTCTCGATTTTACGACTTAATGTACAAGCCATTTCGTTCGAGACGCTCGGTTGGGCGGCGCTCTGTCTAAGCCGCCGATATTGCTGAATCTATCGTAGCCTTATCGGCCTTCATTAGGCGAATCACGCGGAAGAAAGAGAAGGCGAGAGAGATAGAGAAAGGGAGACGATGGAATTCCGCTAGAAATTCAGAGTCACCACAGTCGAATGCTTCGCAGCTCTCGCCATAATCCGATTTCGCTTCTCTCTTCTTCTTTCCCCGACCCGCTCACTCTCCGTTTGCCTTTCAACTGATAACTAGTAATTAAACAGCTCCAACAACGGGATAGGGCATTTACTCGCGCAATTCCCGTCTCTACGCCCCCCGCCTTTCTTCAACACCTATC